CATACAGTTGCAATTAGCAAAATCTTCACTGGGAAAACGTACAGTTCAAGGAGCCAAGTGTCTTCCACAATAATGACAAAAAAGACAAGAGAAAACAGGGAGAGACAGCAAGGGAATCTACAAATTAAAAGAGCCTGAAGAGGTGCATCACCCAAATGCACTATGTGAACTTTATCAGGGTCTTGATCAACATGAAGAAAAGAAAACTCTTTTGAGCTAAGTGGAGAATACTGAACACTGGATATTTCATGATATAATGAAATTATTGTTAAAAGTATGTGTGAGGCCAGGTGTGGTGGCTAATACCTATAATCCCAGGACTTTGGGAGGTTGAGGTAGGCAGATCATTTGAGGACAGGAGTTTGAGACCAGCCTGGCCAACATAGTGAAACCCCATCTCTATTAAAAATGTAAAAATTAGCCAGATGATGACAGGCACCTGAAATCCAAGCTACACAGGAGGCTGAGGCACTAGAATTGCTTGAACCCAGAAGGTGGAGGTTGCAGTGAGCCGAGATCACACAATCTTTCTCTGTTGCCCAGGCTAGAGATCTGCACTCCACCCTAGGTGACAGAGAAAGATTCAGTCTCAAAAAAATAAAGAAATAAAATAAAAATAGATGTGATAATGGTATGTGAATATATTTTAGCAGTAAGTATTGAGTATTTATGAATGAAATCATTAAGATGGATTGGATATACACCCAAATAAGCTGAATTTAGAAGTAACTGGTAGAGTATGAGCCCAGCAAGAATGACCTTGAGTTGATTATTAATGAGGCTGAGTGACAGGGACACAGGTTTTTGCTATGTAATTCCCTCTGCTTTTACAAATGTTTTAAATTTTTTACTTTTATTTAAGGTGAATGATGAAGCCACAGGCTAGGAGGGGATAAGGACAATACATGTAACTGCAAAGGAGACATAAAAACAGTCAGAAAGCAAGAAAACTAAATATCGTGCAGTAGAAAAATGACAAAGGCTGTGAGAAGTCAGATGTGGAGCCCAGGATGGGGAACAGGCAAATGAAAAGAGGGGCAACCTCATCCGTGGTCAGGGAAACGCAAGTTAAAGCCATCTCATGCAAAAAGGCTTTGGTGGGTACATGTGGGAAAACAGGAACCATTTTCCCCCTGCTGTCATGCCGCAACCATTAACGAAGATGACTTCTTAGGACAGAATGTGGGGGGTTTCTCCCTACCACCAAACAATGAGTTCTGCAGCAGATACCAGCAGCTGGGTATTCTCTGGCTCAATTCTGACACATCTCCCTGAAGGTAGCATCGGATCCCAGAGGGTGAGGCTCAGTCCCACAAGACTCCCCCTCACTTCTGATGCCAACCACAAGCCCAAGGTTGTTTCACCTGTGCTTCTGACTGACTAGCGATAAACCGCAGCTCTCAAAACCCTTTTCTTGGGTGCCATTAATTTGCTAGAGCAGCACACAGAAATCAGGGAAACACGTTTTCTGGTTGATTATAAAAGATATTCCAAAGGATACAGATGAAGAGATGCATAGGCCAAGGTATGGAAAGGAATGTAGAGCTTCCATGCTCCCCCCCGTGTATCAACCTCTAGGAACCTCCACCTGTTCAGCTACCTGGAAACTCCCTGCATTCCATCCTCCTGGGCCTTTTATGGAGACATCACTGGATAACCAAGATTAACAATGATGTGACTTGATAAAAGGGACTTGGTCTAAGACTAACAGAATGAGTGGGGAGACCCTGCAAGGCCTGTCTCTCCAGAGCTTTCTTGGATTCTCTGGGTAGTATTCTTTCCTCCAGGGTACGAGGCTGGACCACTTCTGAAATGGGGGACACTTGTGACAACTCAGACAACATGGGTCAATTTCTTTATGGATAGCAGGGGATGGTTAGAGTCCTGCCTTGGGTAGAAAAAGGAACAGGTGAAAAGAGAGCAGTAGAAGGTTAGAGAGAGAGATTCTCTTTTCTGAGACCTTCTTCTGAGGCCTAATGTGCCTCCAACATTACAACAAGGGCTACGAGAGTTATGGCCCAGGAACAGCAGATGAAAACAAGTATATAAAACATCACAGTAGAGATGTAAAAGTGTCAGCAGGAACTTTTGCACACAAACAGAAGGATAATAAATAGGTTACATTTACTTTATAAAATGGCGAAATTCAGTCAAGTTTGAGATGCCATATACTAAAACCCTGCAATTTCAAACTTAGATACTGACCTTAAAGAAACATTTGTGTAATGGACCCAGGAAGTGATAACAGATGGCTGCTGATATCACAAAAAGACAGCAGGCATTATGCATGTCCCGACAGAAAACATCACCCAGTAACAGTCATATAATCAGCAACATTAAACGTTAATCCAAACGTTTAATTTAAGGAAACACCAGAAATAAAGAAGCATATCAAATCACAGTACAGAGACACCATCAGCAAAATTTAAGTGGTGAAAACTTCTGTAAGGCAAATCCAGTGTCTTCAGTAAACAAATTACGAGACAGAAGGGGAGAGAGAGAGATGAGGGAAGACGCCAAGGAAGAAAAGAAACCTAAAACAGTAGCCAATTCATAGAGAAAGCAAGTAGAATGATGGTCACCCAAGGGCTGGGGGAGGGAGGAATAGGGAGTGAGTGTTTAATAAGGATTTCAGTTGGAGAAGATGAAAAAGTTCTGGAGATGGATGTTGATGATGACCACACAATGTGGGAATATACTTAGTGCCACTCAGCTATACAGTTACAGATGGTTAAAATGGTAAATGTTACGTTAGGTATATTTTACCGTAATTTTTTTTTGAAATTTATTTATTTAACTTTAGGTGCATACTATATCTGGCATTTCTCCCCGTGTTATCCCTCCCCTCCCTCTGCTCCCTCCCCACAACCCCGCTGTTTCTCCCCTACCCCCTCCAACTGCCCCCAGCGTGTGATGCTCCTCTCCCTGAAACCACACGTTCTCACTGTTTGACACCCATCTATGAGTGAGAACATACGGTGTTTGGCTTTCTGTTCTTGTGTCAGTTTGCTGAGAATGATGGTTTCCAGATTCATCCGAGTCCCTACAAAGGACACGAACTCATAGTTTTTTATGGCTGTGTAGTATTCCATGGGGTATATGTACCACATTTTCTTTGTCTAGTCTATCACTGACGGCATTTGGATTGGTTCCAGGTCTTTGCTACTGTACACAGGGCTGAAGTGAACATATGTGTGCATATGTCTTTATAGTAAAACGATTTATAGTTCTTTAGGTATATGCCCAGTAATGGGACTGCTGGGTCAAATGGAATTTCTATTTCTAGATCCTTGAGGAATTGCCACACTGTCTTCCACAATGGTTGAACTAATTTACACTCCCACCAACAGTGTAAGAGTGTTCCCATTTCCCCACATCCTCTCCAGCATCTGTTGTCTCCAGATTTTTTAATGATCGCCTTTCTAACTGGCATGAGATGGTACCTCAATGTGGTTTTGATTTGCATTTTTCTAATGAGCGGTGATGATGAGCATTTTTTCATACGTTTTTTGGCCTCACATATGTCTTCTTTTGAAAAGTGTCTATTCATATCCTTTGCCCACTTTTGGATAGGGTTGTTTTTTTCTTGTATATCTGTTTTAGTTCTTTGTAGATTCTGGTTATTAGCACTTTGTCAGATGGGTAGATTGCAAAAACTTTTTCCCATTCTCTTAGTTGCTGATTCACTCTAATGATGGTTTCTTTTGCTGTACAGAAGCTCTGAATTTTAATTAGATCCCATTTGTCTAGCTTGGCTTTTATTGCCATTGCTTTTGGTGTTTTATTTTACCAAAATTTTTAATATTTAAAGGAAAAGCAACATAGAGATGTATTATTACAATGTGTGGGTGTCACGTGGATCCTGAATCGAAAAAACTATTCAAAGGTAGAAGTCAACTGGAAATTTGAACACTGACTGTGACAACATAAAGGAATTACTGGTAATGGAGTGATAAGGATACTGTATTTATTTTTTCTTATTTTTAGAGATGTCTATAGATGAAATGATATCCAGAATTTGAATGAAATGATAGAGGAGGAGGAAGCAGATACAGATAACCTGAAACACAACTGGCCATGACTGATAATTGTTCAACCTGACAAAGGATAAATGAGCATGCATTACACAACCTGCCTAAATGTGGACATTTTACATAATAAAGAAGTTGTAAAATGAGGAAGCGATTATATGTCTGCACAAAAGGGCAAGTGTTAGATGCTCACAGCATTGTAGTTTTTAATAGCAAAATAGTGGAGACATCCGAAATGCTGACAAAGCCAGGAATGAATCAAAAATATTGTGCTATTTCATTCCACAGAGAACTACAGAGCTAAGCAATTAAATGATGTAGATCAGTGGATCTCAACCAAGGGTGATTCTGCCAGGTTCTGAAATCCAGAGGACAGGTGGCAATATGTGGAGACATTTGTGGTTGTCACAACCTGGAGAAGTGAAGCTATTGGCCTCTAGTGCCGGAACCCAGGGATGATGCTAAACATCCCATAATGCTCAGAACAGCCCCCACAATAAAGAATTATATCATCCAAAATGTCAGCAATGCCATGACTGCAAAGCCTGATTACTCCTCAAACCATAATACTGAATTAAAAACAAATAAACAAAAACAAGTGACCAGCAGATATATACAAAAGTAGTATCATGTAGGTAAATGTTAAGAACACAAAACCAAGACTGTTTATTGCTCATGGAAGCTTAAGCATGTAGCAAAGTATGAAAAGACGGGTGGGGACACTATATGCCAATATTTGAATATAGTTGACTAGAAGGAGGAATGACTAACAGGAAATGTTGCTTCGACAGAATTTGTAACATTTTACTTATTTTACCCCCTCCCCATCAGAAAAAGCAAAGGAGGCAGAGGTGAACGTAGGCAAATCTGGCCGGTGGGTGCATGGTTGCTTGCTCTGTTAATCTCTGGGTTTTTCTATTGGGCTGTGTGAGGCAGAGGCTGGATGGACAGAGTTGGGGCAACACTCACCGGTCCGCGGAGATCGATGAGCTCCTGTCTCATCTGGGACACGAGGGCTTCCTTGGCCACCAGGGCCCTGTGCAGGCGCTCGTTGAACTCAATCAGCTCGCCATGCATCTCTGCCACCTGGAACACAAGCACCAAAAGGTGAGGCTTAGAGGCAGACATTCCCCAGGGACCGATCCCACCTTCTCTGGACTCTCCTTCCTGCCATCTGTCCTGCCATCTGTAGGCTGTTGGGGTTGGAGTCAATGACACTGCTTACCTGTGAACCATGCAATCCACCTGAGAGGTCAATGTGTTTTCACCTGCTTCACTGTGACACTTCAGAGTCAACAGTATGACATTTACGGTAAAAATAGGAGAGTATCAGATCAAGTTTGGACCTTGAGCTTTTTCTTTTGCTTTTCTTTTTTTCAAAAAAAAGACAAGGTGTCGCTCTGTCACCCAAGCTGGAGTATAGTGGTGCGATCTTGGCTCATCACAACCTCTGCCTCCCAGGTTCAAGCTATTCTTCTGCCTCAGCCTCCCGGGTAGCTGGGATTATAGGCATGTGCCACCACACCTTGTATTTTTAGTAAAGACAGGATTTCAACATGTTAGCCAGGCTCATCTTGAGCTCCTGACCTCAAGTCACCCACCGTCCTGACCCTCTCAAAGTGCTGAGATTACAGGCATGAGCTACCACACCTGACCTGATTCTTAACGAATAAATGCTGTTCTAGCAAAGGCTGTCTTCCACATCTGACTTGTGCCAATCAACAATTTTGCTAATGGCACAACAACAGTAACCATTTGGTGACCATTTATCAAGGATAGTGACAACAATGGTGACAGATGAAATCACAGCAGTGCAGCTATCCTGAAGTCACTGTTTATTCCATGTCAGGCTAAATCCTCCCAGAGCACTCTTCACAGCTTCATCACACTGCCTCTCAGGCAGATGTTATTATTCCCACCTTACAAAAAGAGAAACAGTGTCTCAGGAGTGTAGGGGGCTTGCCCAAGGTCAAACACCTAACAAGGAACTGACACAAGAGCCCTGGCTGTGTGCTAGGGTCCTACCACTCCACTGTGCCCACCTGCAACCCACGTGGGCCTGCTGTGAGCTGCTCAATTCTTCCATATTGAATTATTCGATAATCTCAGCTGATCCCCAATAAATACAACTGGAGGTGGCTACAGACGGTCTACTGTCAAAGCACAGACTATTCAACTATAATTTACTTAAGCATTTTAGAGAAACGTAAGACGTAATCCTGCTATGCTCTTAAAGAACGCTGAAGGAAGAATCCTGCAAGCATCTTTAAGAGAAGTCCCCAGAATGCTAGGTCAGGCAGATCCTTATCTAGTCCCCTGACTCCCTGCCCTTCCCAAGAGATCACCTCTTCAATGCCCCAGATCTCACCTAAGCACTAACTACACTGTATTCGGAGTGTAAACAATACCAGGCCATTTACAATAAGTACTTCACATGAGATACAGAAGACAATGTCAGAATAAAGGAAGGACATAGGGAAAAGGTTTCTGAAAAAACATGGGGTAACCAATGTGTGTCTCATCTCAGGAGGAACAGAAGGGAGTCCTCCTTTTTTTGCTGTTGTAATAAGGGTAAATCGCATAACAAAATGCACCAAGCTATGAATGACCGCCAAGGAGGCATGTTTCCTTCTCATTCTTTATACTTTTCTTTATTTCAGCTCCTATTCATCAGTGAGAGAAGCCACTTAGACTCTTTATAAAGAATTAGAATTCTTCATCTGAACTACAAGGAAGCCATTGGGCAATCAACATGAAATATATCACATTTCCATTAACCGGCTCTGTGAGTTCCCCTCCACAGACACCCCTCTCTGACCCAGAGGAACAGACACTTTCAAACCATAGTGAAATACTAAGTGAAAATGACACAAAAGATACTGCAAAGAACCATGCAATTAACAAAGGGAGAATAAGTCACTGAGCCTTTTTGCCAGCTTTTTTCTTTGTACAGATGTAAAATTAATATTCCTTTGTTGCCTTGTTCCTTTTGGATAAGAAAATCTTGAGTTGATCATCTTTTGGCCCTTAACAAACAAATACAGTATCGTTAATAATGCCTATGTGCCCCCTCCACACAGAAATCACATGAAGCCTCCACAAGCTTCCTCTGGGCTGTGAATCCATTCACCACGCAGCAGGCTGGAAATCCACAGCTGCCCATATTACTGCTAATTACCTGCCAATGTGCCCCCCAAAAATGTGAACCTTCAATGCCACTGTCATTTCCAAAGCAAAGCAGGGTTTTGCGTTTTGTCTCTGTTTTGTTTTGCAGTGGGAACCAGAGTGTTACTGCAATTTTCCATAAATGCAGACATTATCAAAACATCCTAGCTCCAAGTGATGTTTACCACAAGCTGTCAAAACCCTGGTTCTCTTTTGCAGCCAGAAGAGCAGAACTTGACCACATCAGGCAAATCTTTCATTTCCCTAGGGAATGAAAAGGAAAAATCCGATGCAACTTAAGAGAAAAAATTTGATTAAAATAATAATAATTTCCAGCTACCATTAAAACTATGACATTCAGTGTTACTAAGCTAATCCCTGAAACTCTGAGTTTTTACATTACATATCGCTACCTACAGCCATTGGTATAAACAGCTTTCATCTTACATAAACGATACTGAGCTTACTGCTCCTCGAATAACTACTTCCAAACTCCAGTATAACTAGAAATAAACTTAAGACTCAGAGCCTCGGAAGAGAGAATGTGAGATCACAAATAGTTCCTGTTATCATAAAAATAAAAGCAGGCTGCACAACCACTGCCTCTTGGAATTTTTATTAGGCTTTGAGGGCACTTACGGCTTCTCATCTGCCCTTCTTATTTTTCACCAGCCACAGAAAATAGGACAGAGAGAGCCACCCTCCAATCCATTCCCCGCTAAGCAGGCACAATGATCTTCCCAAAGTAACATCTAATGCTGTCACCTGTTTGATACCTTCAGCGCTGCTTCTGCTCTAAGAGTAAAATCTGAACTCCTTCAAGATGTAGCCCTAGCCTTTCTCTCCAATCCCCCTTTTCCTTTTTGGGGTCTCACTAACTCAGCCCCCACAGCCCTTCTCTGCTCCATAAACACGCTGAGCGCTGGGAGGTCACCCTGCAGACAAGGAAGAGAAAGGTATGACTAGTGGAGGAAACTACAGGTACAAATGCTGGCACCAGAGGCTGGCAGGGAGGAGGCAGAGAGAGGTGGCTCAGGCATCAGGACTTGATGCAAGATGGGCCCGGGCTTGATCAGTTTCTAACAGTGTGTGTGTTCCAGTGAGAGCCTCAGGCTGTGCGTCCACGAAATGGGCATTAAAAAGCACACCCATCTCACCAGCCCACTGCGGGGATGGCAGGAGATGCTGCACTTAGCAGGTTTGGCAGCATATCTAGGGCAGGGTAAGTGCCCATTGGATGAGATGTGGTTTTATGTGATGGGTGACCATGACAGGAGACATGGAGGAAGTGGCGGACAAGTAGGTCTCCAGGGGCCAAATGCAGGAAGTCCACGATCTGCCACACCAAGGAGCTAGAACTGCTGTGGGGAGCACTTAGTGTCCCCCGAAGCAAGAGCACCACAAAATTGCTAAGCATCTTCCAGTAACAGTGCTAGGATCTCAGGGAGGAGCAAGGACAGCCATCCAGTTCACATCCTTTGATATTTGGTAAATTATGATAGAGTGACTTGGGAAGAAGACAGGGAAGGCCCACATGCTCCAAGAGTTAACATTCGGGAGTCACTTATCTAATGAGCCTTGGCACATACCAGGCAGCCTCCCGTGGCCTATCCAAAACCCCCACCAGGTATGTGTGTCATTATATCATCAGTTTGAGAGTCTGATGGGCTTCCTTCTACCCTGTTGTCATACTTCATGAAAATTAATCAATTTGCAGGCAGTTAAGGAGGAGATACCATTTGACAATACTTTGACAATGACAAGTAAAAGCAAATACCAGGTAGAGATACAATGGCCAGGGCTGACACAGCCCCAAACCCAGCCCAGCATGGGACAGAGCACCAGGAAGGAAGCCTTGATTCTCCAAAAGGCCCAAGGATACCACCTGGCCAGTAGAAGTTGTGGTTCTGAACTTGTGACACAACTTATCAGTTAATCAGGTGCAAAGACTATGTGTCAATATCTGGCATTCACCTTTTGAGCTGGAGAGAAGGTAGAATATTCAAGAAGTTCAAGTAACGTGGCTATTTGGCAACATCTATCAAACTTTTTAAATCACTCGCCTTTTATTTCACAAATCCTGCCTCTCTACCTGCATGTGAGCTCAAAATACAACTTCAGCTCCAAATGGCTGGGATCCACCTAAATGCCCATCCAAAGGGGACTGGGTGAATATCTCAGGATTCCACTACTCCCCTGCCAAGACAGGGCCAATCAGTCGCTGCGCTCCTTCCTCAAGAAGACACCCGGTACGCCATAATCAATCAATCAGTGTGGTGACCAGTAAGATGATGCCTATTTGGTAGCCCTGGCCTAAAAGATAGGGGAAAGCATCACCAAGAAGGTGACATTTGAGTTGGGCTTTGGAAAATGATGTCTTCGGAGATTTAGGAGACAGGGCAATTCCTTCCAGCTGCAGTATCAGGAAAGATGATCTCCAAAAATAATATGGTTGTGAGAAAACTTTTAAGTCTGTGAAAATACTAGGAATTATCCTAATTACCTGCCAAATCATGAAAGGATTATAAGTTTTTCAAAAACGCCTCTGGCATTTCCTTTCATACCAGAATGTGCCCTCCACCTAATCACATTCAGGTAAATCATGCTTTACCCTCCTCCAGCTAACAAATTAGATGCTTCTTCATTAATTACATCAAGACACACACCCCAGATTCCAATAGCAACTGAGGCTCTTTGGGTCACATACCCAGACTCTCCAAGATTATTCACTTTGATGCCTTAGAATCTGTCAGTTTACTGGCCTTCTATGCCTTTATTTCTATGCCTTAGAAGCTGTTTACTGGCCCTGTTACTCTGTACTGTGGGGAGGGGGCCTGAAGCCTCTTTCTGTGATGATAAAATTGCACCCACCTAGTTAAAAAAAGTGAACCTAGACCGTGCCCACTTTGCATTCACATGCT